TAATGTAAATAAATAAGATGCGTGAAGCAGTGGACTCCCTCCAGCTCTGACCTATTCCAACCAGGCCCTGCCCACCTCCTTCCCTCTCACTACAGAACTTCCGTAACAGACGAAACAGGCTTTGTGCAGAGGAAAAGCTCCAAAATACCTAGGTTGTTTTGTTTTGTTTTTTAAAGACTGCATTAAAGACATGGCAGGTTTTCTGGAGAGCAACCAAGAACTGGTCAGTAAGCCTCATTCGTACTGATTGAACGTTTAGCTGGGACACAATAATACACACCAGCTCTGCTATAGCCAATTTACAAATGCTTAAATATACGCAGGCTCATTTACAGGACACAAGATTAGCCCCGAAGTCCCTCCACCCCCACTGACTTCAACAGGAGCTGAGGGTGCTCAGCACCTTGCAGGCATATTCAACACCTTGCCGCATTCATCTCTATGAGCCTGAACTGCTGGGTTCTCTTGAGCAATGGTGTGGCAAAGCTAGGTGCATCTGGACCACTTCCCCTGCACGGAGGCTGCACACACGTAGCTCTCTGCAATAGGCACAACTGGGGCCAGTCCTCAGCGGCAGCATTGCTGAGCGGTGCTCAGCACTGTTGCACGTTCCATCCACACAGGCGTGTGCTACCCCTGTAGCAGAAGGGGCGTGGTGCCAGGTGGAGCTGGTGCCACACCCTCACAGATTTGCAATCCAGAAGGCAGCAGCTCAGTGTGGAGATGCTCCCCACACCAAACTCTCCTATGCCTACAGGCTGCCAACCTGGGGAGGCATCCATGCAAGCAGGGACCCGCAGGGTCCCAGCAGCTGGAACACGAGACCAGAGGCTACACGGGCTCTATCCCGTTTGGTCACGTTGCCCTGGGAGCGCATGTTGAGCGACTGGTCCCTACGACCCCTGAATCCTTTCCAGAGTCACTGCTCTCCAGGAGACAGTCTCCTAATTCTGCAGCTACCGTCTGCAATCTCTGTTCCTAGAGGTTAGGCCTTGCATTTGGCTGTAGTAAGATGCATTTTTCTCGAATGGGCCCAGCTTACCAAATGCTTCAGATTACTCTCTCTGACTGCCCTCGCTTCCTTGTTATTTACCACTCCGCAAATCTTTGCGCCGTCAGAAAGTCCTCCGCCCCAGAGATGTGAGGTGGCATGTAACAACCCAACTTCTTTCTTTCCATCTGTTACCTTGTCAACAATGGAGGAAAAAATCAGAGGCCAGCAAGTTCTCTCCTAACTGACTGCCAGCATTTGCGAAGCGAAAGAATCCAAGATTTCCCCAAGAAGGCTGCACTGACCTTACAGTCGTGATAATGCCAAAAAAATCATTTTCTCCACTGAACTGGGTAAACAACAACAAGTACATTGTAGCCACTCGATCTCCATGCAGAAATTAATCAAGGATAGCTGCACATCTAAAACTCTATCTGAAGGCACTGCACTAAATGCCTTGATACAGTTCCATACATAAGTAAACAAACTAACTACAACAGTTATTTCTTTGTGAGGCATGGAGGAGGCAAGGGAGGAGACAGACAATAAAATCCACCAACAAACACTTCTGCTCCAAAATGAAGTCTGCAGCCCCTTGCTCTAAGTGTTCAATAGCTTCCCAATCAGGAAATGCATTTTCCTCTCTTCTATTTTATATTGTGCTCTGCTTACACACTGCTTATTTCACAAAGAATAATCTTGCAACATGCTATTATCCCTTACCCAGTGCAAAAACAAACATCTCCACTGTGCTTTCTCAATATTTCTCACTGTTGCACGACTACCAACCCAGTCCCACAGTGCTAACAGTGGGAACGCTACTGGAATAAGAGGTATGTCTATTCTCGACTTAATTCAATTATATGTAACTTGTGTTACTTGAATCAACTCATGCAAACACTTTTCAGTCCATCCTCATCTGGTATTCCTCTTTGTGTTTAGTGGACTTGCTGTTCAGCATCTCATCCACATGAGTGCTGCATTCAATCACATTAGCAACAGTGACCTATGGTAATGAATCCCAGAATTCCTGGCACCACTCCAAATTGTGGTGCATTGTGGGTGACAGCAATGAGTCTAGGATGATGCCTGTGCACCCAGAGGGATTGTGGGAGCAGAGATCAAACTCCCAGAATTCCTCCAGGTTCCAGACACATCATCCCAGGACAGCAAACCAGCATGTTTACTACTGTGTTGTCTAATTCTATTCAGAGAAGATCTATGTACCCAGTGGTAAAAACCCTGGTGGACACTGCAATTTAGCTACACAACTCCTCCCACTCTTGCTCTTCCCAGTGAAGGTACACTGGTGCTAGAACAACTTGAGAAGTTTTAAGAAAAAGGTCATTGTAAACCAATAGTGGTGTGTGTAAACCATCTGACATATTTGGCAGGACGGTGCTTTAGAAGCGCAGAGAATATCCATTATTGCTAACCTTGGTTCACATTGTTTGTGACTTTCCCTTCTAGGAATTCCACAAATAAAATTACTGCAATACACCTACCCAGACCTGTGTACACAGCTCCTCTTCGATGGTAGGGCACTCTGTTCATACCCAAAGAGATATGGCCCTAATCCTCCAAAGATTTAAGTGTGTTTAACTCTGCAATCTCGGGCCTTAATTTGACTGAGGGCTATGCCTACCTTACAGAGAGAGAGAGAATGAATTATAACAGAACCCCATGATTCAACTGCATCGTAGGAGACACCATCCACAGCCATTTTGTAAAGGGGTTAACACCTATGCAAGTGAGACAAGTTCATAGAAAAAGCTAGTCTTTTATTTTAAAGTAGAAACTGCGTCACTTACGTAGGCGCGGATTCAGGAACCTACATCGCTGAAATCAAAGGAGGTTGGCCATTGACTTCAACAGGAGAAGGACTGAGCTCTTAGTTTCTCTGCTACAGAGTTTCCCCAGGCATCGTAAAGACATCAGCATGTGGATTTGACCGAGTTATGGCAAACAATTTAAGCCTGGTCTAAAACACCAAAACGTTGCAGCACTTTAACTATCCTGTTTGAGTCAAAACAATACAACCGCTCTACTACAGACATGTATCAGGACATTTTATTCCAGCAAAGGAATCACCTATACCACGTATAAGCACACATATAGGCTCCAGATTGTACCTCTGCAACTATATTAGTAATAAAATTTTAAAAACTGCATGCACAACTGATATTATACCAGTATAAGGCCTGGTCTCTACACAGGCTTTACACTTGCAAACACTTGGGGGGGGGGGGGGAGAGATACAGAAAAGGGCTGAGAAATAAATAAATACAAACAGACCATTTTGTTTTAAAATATGCACAGTATTTTTGTTTCATTGATGGTGCACTGTATGTGATGGAGTACTATTGTGGTACAAGGACAAACGCAAAACAATCTTTTGAAGCTCTTTGGGGCAGGAGCAATCATCTACCAGATGTGTCTACAGTGCTTACAACAATGTGGCCTTAACATGCTTGGCCTCATTTAAATGTTTACTAAAATAATACAAACAATGCACAGGGGGAAAGCAACACTGCATATGATGCTTTATAAGGGTACTCTGAATAATAAACATTGACTGTATCAATTTTTACGGGTTACTTACATATTTTTAAGCGAGGCTTTTCTAAAAATACATAAAATATTACAAACTATTTATAACTTTCATCACCAAGCAGAAATGCAGGACATGGTGATGTCAGCTAGATGGGACATTATAGGAGGAAAACAATATCCTCACATACTAGAAACCACAGGACATGCACATTTTGCCTATTACATTAAACATACAGATAGCGGTGGCTAATTTACTGTAAAATATACCCCAAAAGACATATAATGCAAATGAGCTATGGCTTGAAAATATTTTTTTAAAGAACAGGAGATGTATTAATTAAAAGGAATTGATGGACCTTTTCCATCTGTAAGAGCGGATTACTCATTATACCTGACCATAAATATGGACAAGTGAACATGTCTAAACTTGTCGATAGGAACATGATTTTTTTTTTTTTTTTTTAAAAAAAAAAAAGCTTTACTAAGACTCTCAAATCTCATTCTGGGATTCTTCACCATGCTGCTCTTCTAAGATGTTATTTACCAATTACAACATATAAAGTGTTTAAACTATTGTGTATCTACAAAGGTTTCTAAATACGCATGCACACACATTTAATAAGCAGCCTTATAAAAACATGCAATTGCCATGGCTCTCGAGAAATGAGCACCTATGGGAAAATATCCTTCGAGGGGCTATAAAGTATTTTCCCTGTCTATTTAGTTACAGGGCCCTGAAGAAGCACCATCCAGCAAAATCCAATTGCTCATATTAAAGATGGCATAAGCACCGACATTCCAGATCTGCAGGCTAGAATCTGAATGTTTAATATAAAACATATAGAAGCAATACTAAAATCGCTCCTAGTACAAGTCTGCACTTTGACCGAAAAACAGCCTGCATAAATGTAACTGGTGGAGAAAGCAAATCAGCAAGCTACTAAAACATGCACACTTTAAACTCAGACACACCACTTCCCTGACTCAAATGTAAAACAAAATGTAAAAGTTGCACTGCTAAAAAAGTAAAAGAGGGAGTTTGCGTGCATTGATTTCTCTCTCTAGCTATCCTGTATTTGGAAAATAATCTGAACAAGGCGGAGGGGGGGGGGGGCAGGGAGATGGGGGATGGGCAAACCAAGCCTTGTCATTTCAATGCAATCTACACCCCAAACATTACCGATCTTATTATGACCATTTTGTATGTTTTAAAACAATCCTGATCGTTTATTGCTGGATCTGCACTTTCTGTTTCCAAATTTCTATTTTTAGTCCATCTTTCACCAAGTGCTTTAAAACCTAGGAATTATCTCTTGGCACAAAGAATGCGATGACCCCACGAATCCTGCGAACACCCTGGCAATTTAGAAGTGCGATTAGTTTAGGTATATATTTAAAACAAAACAAAACAAACATCCTCCCCTCCCCCCCATTTATTTCAACCTTAGCAACTCACTGCGCATCTCTTCCCGGATTGCAAGAAGGAGTCCCAACGAAATCCTAACTAGTGCAAACTTACTGGCAATTTCAGGCTGTTTCCCACCATAAAATCCATTCCAGAGGGGTACAAAAGGGGCTTCCGAACGCGGCCGCTTTTGCAGCAAGAAGCTCAGCCTGCTGCCCATGTGCTCGCAGGAGCACGCGCTCCGCGCTCGCCTCAATAGAACGTTGCGCTGGCGAGAGGCTCTGTGACGTCACTGCCCCCAGCAGCTGATCCTGCCCCGCAGGCTGCAGCCTTAGGCGGAGCGGACTGATTACTGCCTCCGCCTCCAGCACCGGAGACGTGCAAAGGAACAGGAGGGCAAGGCCATCGCTGGAGCTGAGGGTTCCTGCCCATTCGGGACCCCGAAGCTGGACCATGAAAGCAGAGAACAGACCCAGCTGCTCTCACTGCACTAGCAAACCCCCCATCCTGGAGCATCCCAGAGCAGGAGTGCCAAGAACACCCACATCCAGCACCTAGATCCCACTGGATCCAGCCAAATTTTGGCTCCAAACCCCCAAAGTCTAATGCCTGAGCAGATCTAGCTGTACAGTAGACCTAGCTGTTCCTTTTCTTCTTCAAAATGGGAGTTTTACTGACACTTTAAAAATATGCCAAAGTATGAGATTTAAAGGAAAGCTGTGTTTTTGCTATACACAAGCTGATAGCCACCTTACTGTGGTGGCAAGAAACCCTGCAGAGATCATGTCATCTTAGAATGAACCAGTCAGTCACAGAACGAGCAGCCCGTGGTCTTTCCTGTGCATGTTAAATGGCAGAATAAGGAGTCACAACTGGAGGACTCCCACCCTTTCCCAGAAGAAGGCTCTACATCCCAGCTGTTCTGAGAAACTGTGCATGGCCTTCCTGAACAAGTCCACCCCACTCCCACCTTAAATTCTTCATAGCAGCATATGGTATGCCCATTCAGTTGCAGCGGTCCCAGCCTGGGTTGGATGCTAGCCAGGGACCCTCTGACTGCCCCAGCAAAACTCTGCACCCTGACACCTCTGGACATAAGCACCATAGTCACAGACCCTGCATTTGGAGTCTGCTAGATCCCTCCAGTTTTGGGCCTTCACGTCCCAAATCCCATGGCATGAATAGAGAACAAGTTTAGGTCTTTTTCCTGCTGCAGCAAAAAAATCCTGGTCCTTGATGTACCCTTGTGCACAACTGTTGCAAAAACCCAAATCCAGCATCTGGATTTTAATTATTTTGGGCCCCAAATTGTAGATCAGCTCTTAGATTCAGTTTTTGTATATTGGTATATTTTGTACTATATTGGTTTAGAAACCAATTGTACATTCCCCCCCTCCCCACATGTGGATGTACTTGTACCAGTATAAAGTGCAAATTTATTTGAGCATAAGCTTTTGTGAGCTACAGCTGCTACTCTGAAACCAGTATAAAGTGGTTATAGAGGTTTAGTTTATTCCTGCAAATGTGGAAATAGAAAAGAAGTGTAGCCACTCTTACTTTACTGGTATAATCTGGACTTTGGGGCATCCTGACATAAATAGCACTGGGGGGCGGGGGGGAACACAGATAAGGGCATATGCTCCTTGTGAATGGAGGGGGGGGCAGTGAAGGGAGAGAAAGGGAGTGAGGAGACGTACTGAGACTCGGTCGGGGGAGCAAGGAAGGAAAGTCCTGGAGGTTCCTACTTGTTCCTGGGCCCATTCCACCCCTCTGGGTTCTGCGCTTGCCTCCCCCGCCCAGGGGGATGCACCCACAATATTTCCATTGCAGGGGCATGAGCACTCCCTGCACTCTTGGTTCCACTGCCCTGAAAAAGGTACCTACATCCTGCAGAATCCTGTCAATTTCAGTATTGCCAACCCCCACACATTAAAAAATCATGAGTCAGCATCCCCACCCCACCCCACCCCCACCCCCAAAAAATCACAAAATTGGCTTACAAATCATTGAATTAAAAGCAAGAGTATGCTTTTTATTTGCCTTATGGGTTTTGACTCTTAAGGGTCGATTTAGGTCATATTTACAAGCCTTTCTTTAAAGTGAAAGTTGAGAGTCTCAGGAATCTAAAAGCTGGAGCTGAATGAAAAATAATAAATATAGCAAGACTTGCAATTACGTTACAAGAGATGGCCATACAGCAGTTTCTAACCCCAGCCCCCCAGATTAGAGTGGCCAGATGCCTGATTTTATAGGGACATTCCCAATAACATATTCAGGGGTTTGTCTTATGTAGGCACCTATAACCCCCACCCCCGTCCTGATTTTTCACACTTGCTATCTGGTCACCCTACCCAAAATCCTACTGTCTAACTAGAGAAAGTAGTGTAGTAGGCCATTAGCACACCAAAAATCCAGACCACGCTGCAAACTGATGCTGCAACACGGCAAAAACGTCTATCCAGAACTTGGATCCCAACTAGTTTTGTTATCCCAAACCCAAAAATTCTACCAGCTAACTAGAGGAGAAGGGTAGCTGTTCCAGTTCCACTATGAAAATCTTGATCCCAATGTAATCTAGCTCACAAGCACTGTAAAGACATATGTCCTATACCCGGAGCTTGCTGGATTCCACTATTTTTTGGCCCCAAACCTCAATTTGTACTTTCAATATAGACAAACCATATTGTCACTCTTTCTTGACCAGAAGAATCCAAGACTTGATACCTACCCCCCCAAACCATCTCTGGAAAGAGCAATGAAAAATACAAATACTTGCTACATGGGTCTTGCTGGATCCAGAAAACTTGGGACCAAACACCTCTAATTTCTACAGCATAAATGGAGACCAAATGTAGCTACCTCAAGCTCACTATAAGGTCTTGTATACATCTTTGCACATGAACTATGGAAGAATCCAAATATGGACCTGGATCTTGCAAGATCTCATCCATTTTTTCATCTAGATCAGCAAAGTGCTACCTTCTAGATAGACAACAAATGTAACATCCTTTTGAATCAGTATTCAGTGTACTGAAATCTTCAAAGCAGTCTTGGAGATTTAGACATCTGTCTTCCATTAAAATTTGTTTGAAATTAATGGAAGGTATGTGTCCAAGTCCCCTAGACTGCTTTAACATCTCAGTCAACAACTGATGTGCCAAAGCCACCTATCGTGTGATTATCTACATGTGCTAGACCAGTTCTACTGCAAAAATTCAATGCTATGGTATGAAATTTGGCTGCATCTGGAAAGGTCAAAGTGTCCGTTGCTACACATGCCTGTTTGTTGCATATGTGTAATCAGAGATTTCACTCAATTTAATAAAATCGCTAGAAATGGCATGGCCTGGGTAATGTAAAGATGCTCACTCTGTAGTGTGGTAACACCCTATTAAATAGAGAGAACTGATAATTATATTACTGTATAATGTTTCTTTTATAACAGAAAGCTTATTTTAATGATTGTTGTATTGTCTCTGATATTTATTTACATGGCTAGGATTTTTAAACCTATTACAACTAACAACTAACTAACTAACTAATTAACTAACTTGATAGATAGATAGATAGATAGATAGATTAGATAGACAGACAAAGTGTCAGATCTGGGCTACTGCAGTTTCACTGGGGTTTGGCACTGCTTTCACAGTTGGATGTATCAGTGCCTTTATTTTCCTGGTCAAGTAGCTCTAAAGGTCTAGGATGAGATTCTCAGATCCAGCCAAACTGCACTTGTCAGAGGATTGGGTATGGTGGAGGTGAGGGAAAGGTAGCTATGAACCCAGATTCTGGTGCTGGCTGGAGGCTTGAACATTTTAAATCCATTACAGTTCACTGGTAAATGGCCTCATGGCCTGATTCAAACCCTAAGGAAGTCCTTAGAAAGGCTCCTATTGAATTCAATGAGCTTTGATCTGAACTTTACTCCAAGGGGCTATTCAGGCAGCCAAAGAAAATAAACCACAAACTTTTCCCCCAAAACGTCTCTACCCCAGGGGCTTGGAGAGGGATGGAATAAAACCATGACACCAGTTCTGCACTACCTGAGGATTCCCCCTGTGAGGGTTAGGCTGGCTTTGTAACTCCTGGCAGTTGGAGTAAAACACAGACTCTGGGTTCCTAACGTATCAAAACGCAGTAGAAAAAGGATTTTAGTACCTTCCCTCTCAATAGTCTCCCTCCCTCTACTCATTTCTTACCACATTTTAGCGGAAGAAAAAAATACCCCGTGACAAAAAAAAACCCTGCGTCATTAGCCCAAAATAATGTAATTTTTCACAGCTCTACCAGCTTGTAAAAGTGAGCACTAACACCATCTTAAACATAGTGCTGGGGACGTGGGGAGGCACACGCATCTACATATGTAATTTGCCTAAGATGATAAAGCATCAAGAACAAAACTAATAGGAGAGCCCCAGCTGCTGGCCTGTGTTTTGGGGACAAGGCACTTTGGAAAGTGGCTCTCATTTGACATAATCAAAGAAAATCATCTCCAAAATCACGGAAGGTCACCCCTGATTCCTTCCCAGAGTGACTTCGATGAAATCCTGTAACTCCACTGAAATCAATAGGGTAGGATGGTGTTAATTAAACATCACTAAGCACATGTAAGTAGATGTAAGAGGCAGCGTTAGATCAGGCCAACCGCAAAAATCATGGGAGCGGCCCAGAAATGACGAGGTTTTTAAAAAAAAAAAAAGTAATGTTTTTGAGTTGTCTTACAACCGTTTAACCCCCATCCCCAATGTGTAGTGCTCCAGCCCCCTGCCCCACATCAACTCTGCCCACCCTGCTTCACAACGGTGCTACATCCCTTGCCTCCCCCAGCTCACCTCTGTGCCTGCAGATGCAGATTCTTCACCCACGCCCAGGCCTAGAAGGAGGTCAGCTGCAGGGGGTCATCACATTCCCCCCAGGCTTAGGATGAGGGTAGCTCCAAAGGTTCTCCATATGCCCCCAACCCCAACCTAGGGAGAGGGCAGCTATAAGGAAGCTTGAGTCTCCTCCTTCCCAAGCTTGGGTTCCAGCATTAGAGAGGAGCCAATTCATTTTTCACAGATGGGGAAGGAGGAGCAGAGAGGCCCTGAGCTGCCAGGCTCTTGCTGCTCCCTTCTCCTCTTAAGACAATACTGTCCTCTTGCTCTACCCCTTCTGCTACTCAAAAACTCTCTGTTCCTGAGGGGAGAGAGCCACCTGCCTCTTGGAGCAGATGTGATTGGCTATTCTTCAAAATCTCAGCTTCATGTAAAAAAAACATAGCCCTCATATTTAT